AAAATTTCTGTTTTGTTATAGCCTGTAGGGCCCTCATTAATACCAGTGATACGGAAATAAATATGATTTGATTTATATTCACCTGTAGGTGAATATAACAAAACAGAAATATTCAAAATGGCGGCTACCCGTTTTGTGGAAATTCACTGAGAAAGAAATAAGAACAAAAACACTTACCGCACTCGGTGTCTGGTGATTTTTATAGTTAAGGAGCAAGCCTATCACATGTTTACATCTGCCGGTCTTACCAGCAACATCTGGGCACGAACAGTGGGCTTCAAGTAATCCTACAGAGAAATAATTTGAGGAATATGTTTAAGTCCTCAAACATAGTCAGGTACCGCGGGCTTATTTACTTCATGTATATTTGAGAGATGGGGTCGTTTAGAACATTTTGGTATAGGCGTTATATAAATGTTATTATTATTATTAGTATTATTATTATTATTATTATAATGGCTGGAACTTCCTGTCTCTGCAACCCTTAGCAACGTGTTGCTTCCACAAAACAAATTTGGTCTGAATATTATTCTCCCTTCGACAAAATTTATCCAATGTCAAACTGTCTCTCGATCAGCTTTAAAATACTCACCAAACGTAGATATTAACAATCTATGGGCGGTGACGAGCACGAACAAGAACATACAGTATGACATTTACAAAGACACAAAAGACGTACTTAAGGCAGTTAGAAAAGAAAACGAACAAAGACTTCAAAACCACCTCATTTCGCAAGGTTCTTTCTTTTCCAGTATCATGAATCATTCCACATCCACATCCAACTCTTTATGATCATCCGTTCAGAGCAAACTTCCGAAAAACATTTTTAACTTCACCATCCGATATATCAATAACACACTTCCAACACGAAAGAACCTATCAAAATGGGGACTATCATCAACATCCGATTGCTCTTTCTGCTCCTCACCTGAAACGCTGCTCCATGTGGTTGCTGGATGTAAGACATATTTAGACGAAGGCCGGTTTACATGGCGACACGATTCTGTTTTAAATTTCCTCGCATCCACTCTTACTGCTGTGAAAAATTCCACACTTTACGCGGACATTCCTGGTTTTATGAATCCATCTGTTATCACGGGAGATCGTTTACGACCTGCATGACCTTCTGCTGGTGACTGAAAACAGATGTCTATACATCCTCGAGCTTACAGTCGGTTATGAATCCAATCTGCTAGTTAACGCCAATCGTAAGCGTCAAAAGTACCGTGATCTAATCAATGTCATTGAGCAGGAAGCAGATTATGATAAAGTCAAGTTCGTCAATTTATCCTTGAGTACCCTCGGAGTTTTTGGCCGATCTTCTGAAAATTTCGATGGCATGCTAAGTAGCCTTAAATGTGATGCCAAGTATAGTAAATACATAAAAAAGCAAATCGTGAACATATGCATACGAACATCATATTATGTAATTTGTAAACGAAACAAGGTGTGGGATAACCCAAAATTAATGTTAATATAATCCTTCTTAAAATAATTATTGTACAATAAATATATAGTATCAATTCAAGTAGACATTGATAAACTACCTGTAAAGCGAGGTTTATCATTGTAGTTGTATATATCCTAATAATCAATAAATAAAGTTTCCATTATTATTATTATTATCATCATCATCATTATTATTATTATTATTATTATTATTATTATTATTATTTTGGTAAAGCTTAGAGAGGGCTTATAAAAGTTATTTATCTAAAAAGAAACAATGGGCGTGTTCCATAAGAGAGTATAGCTTCTCAATGAATATACCCATCTTATTTTTTTCCCTACAATAGACTTACCCGATGAGTCACTCAACATCACTTGAACATCGTATGGCTGCCTACTTGAGCCAGTGCCTACAAAATTTCAGTCGATTACAGCCAATGGCGAGACCGCGGGGGTCTAACACTGTAAATGCAAAAAGCCCCAAAATAGCCCTAGGATAAATTAGAGAGGCAGCAAGACACAAAATAACGTTTCATGATTGGCCGATCACGGTGACAGTTAGGTTCAATTTGTGTCCTCGAAAAACAATTGTCTCTTCATCTTCGAGAGAGCAATCAGAGCGGAATCATTCCGATTCAAGCCAAGAAAACCCTTACAAATTAACATTATATTTAACGAGTCCACAATACATCTGAAAAATAAATCTCGTTCCAGGAAGCAAAATGTGACCGGTCACTTGGATCGACGTCGAACGAATTTGACCGCTGAACGTTATTTTGAGCCTCTTTAACTTATGTGTACTGTATGTGTATGTGTATGTATTTGCTAACTGGGGCCGAGATTTAGTTTTGTTAGAGAGTATTCCTATTATACAGGTTGTTTCTTAAAAACATATGAGAATTTAATCACTACAAGAACAAAATTGTCCGTAATAGAGAGGTATCTGTAAAGAGAGGTTTGGGTCTTCCACTTACATTTGCAAGTTATCTTTAAGCGTTGTTCCAGCACTTCAACATTCATATCAAAGACACTATCTCTGCACTGAAATCCTCCATGATAACGACCAGGTGTTTCTGCTACTTCACGAAGATTGATATTCCCAACCAAAGCTCGAAGAGACTGCTCAGATGACGGTAAACTTCTTTCAGACGAGGGTAAGGTTGATGAAACGTATTCAGTTCTTGAGGTTCCTCGTTTAATCTTACCGGGAGGTTTTGCGGTTCGTGCAGCTAGCTTGTAATGTGTTTGATATCTGCAAAAAATTTAAATAATTATTACGAGCCTGTCAAGTTTCTACATTTAATTACCGTTAATTCTTTAAGCAACACCCCCTCTCGAAACTAGTGCTCCCCACGAAATCAAGTAGTCCACCATTTTTTATTACAGAGTCATAAAACTGGCAGTGAATAATTATTGCTAAAGTATGCGGAGATTTTTGAGAATATGTTTTGAAATCTTATACCGTTCTTCAACCACCCGAAAATAGCTCCCCGACAATGTCCAGCAGGCAGCTAAATCTAAAAGTTATGTGGCCGTAATTTTCTGAATGGTATAAATAACTAAAGCTTCATCCTTTTAAAAGAAAGGTGACTAATATAGGAGTGGTATTTCGTATAGCGATAAACCGATAAGAGTCAATCACTAAAAAACTCTCCGTATAAAACTAAAAAAGTTGGGGGATTCCTTGTGACGCGAATAACCCGCAAAATTAGTGTCGCCTTCCGAATAAAAAGTCTCCATCTGGCCTTTCCGGTACTCACCTTTCCAAAGCCAACTTGTCTTTAAAACAGACACCTGTCACCTTCCCATGACAATATTTCCACACAAGCGGTGTTGAACTCTTTCGTGCACGAGAGAAGAACGGGATTTCATCTACAGACTCTCGTGTTTCCTTACATGACGTACTGCAGGTGACTTGTAGCATGTTTTGCAGAAATGACAATGTTGACATTGTTTCCCCGCAGTAGACTGAATCGATCTGTAGGACGAACGAAAGTGTTTGTGAGACGGCATCTTACATATAATTCAATACGATAAAACACAATACAATGCAATGCAATATAACACAAATTTACTTGAGCTCACCAGGTGAGGATGATCAAATAATTTTGCCGCCTAAAATATAAGATAGAGAAAACTTAATGTACTTTATTATATAGTAGAGAGTGAGATACTGAAAATACACAGTGAGATATTTTCCATATCTTGACTAGTACAGATATCGATCACGTAACTTTTAGTATTTATACAATTTTTTGCTTGGGACTATATAATAAACAGAACATTACACGGTGGCTTGAAGATATATGACTTTTATCTTCTCGTGTTAAAAACAATATTTTACATATCCTAAAAGTCATATCCCATAAAGTTATATATCCTATGCAATTTTAGCATGGGGTAATACATATTATTCACATCTTAATAAACTACAAACAAAACAAAATAGAATAGTTAGGCTAATGTTTTTTGCCAAAGTATATGGTAAGAACACTGAAAGTGCTCTGCCATTACTGAATCTGCTAAACTTTTTGTCAGTTGATAATGCATTCAAACTTCATGCTCTTCAATTTGCTCAATTATGGCATACAAACCAGTTGCCATCTAGTTTTGACAACTGGTTTAGATTTGTAACTGATGTGCATTCTTGCAAAACCAAAACTTTTATAAACCACTTGTAAAAACAAATATTGGAAAGAAAACCATTTCGTTTTTTTGTCTCTACTCCGAGTTTCACGCATCACTGCGATCATCAGGAGACATTGTTCTCAAAAAAAATATATATATATATATATATATTATATATATATATAATATATAAATATATATATATATATATATATATATATATATATATATATATATATATATATATATATATATATATATATATATATATAATTTCGCTTACCTCAAAATTCCGCCACAGTCTGTTTCATCAGTAAAGAATCATCAGGCGGTACCATCATACCGCCTGATGATTCTTTACTGATGAAACAGACTGTTGCGGAATTTTGAGGTAAGCGAAATTCTACATTTGCTCTATCTTTATGATATTGAGCACTCTTTGCGTTTCGTATACACAAACCTACTCGTATATATATATATATATATATATATATATGTTATATATTTAAATACGAATGTTATATATATATATATATATATATATATATATATATATATATATATATATATATATATATATATATATATATATATATATATATATATATATATTACCTCTGTAAATATTTATTATTGTAATTAAGGAGTGTAAAAATAAAGGTGTTGTTGTTGTTGTTGTTGTTGTTGTTGTTGTTGTTGTTGTTGTTGTTGCTGCTGTTGTTGTTGTTGTTGTTTTCGCGCCGCCGTATAATATCCTCTATAAAAATATCGTTTATGGCATGAAAACGTGACAGTAACATTAACGCACAGTCTCAGTATTGACTGATTGAGGTATGGAAAAGGAGTAGGTGTCAAAATTTTGTACCTTGATTGTCCTAATTCCAACCGAACTCGCCGCTCGGTAATGTTCATCGCTTGAATACATATAAATTGTTCCCTGAAGGGAAATGAAATATAAATGTTAATTAGGATCTTTAGTGAGTAAATTATTGTATTCTGCAGAATGTTAATCGTAAAGAGACATTATACAAATGTTTGTAATGTAATGTAATTCATAAAGTACAATATTCTGTTCCGCTTAAAAACTGTGCACAAGTACACATTTGCATGTATTTCGAAAGCTAACCTTGTGATAGAGATTAACTCTGTGTAATTTCTGCAAAAAGGCCAACACACCAGGTTGAGGTAATTGACTGTAGTGATCCAATTGATGTTTTTCATCAATAAACGTGAAGTACAATGGACATGTCAACTAGCATATAAAAACAACAATTAATTATGATTACCTATACACATGCATGTATGTCATCATCAGAACCGTCAATGAGTTTGAATTTCTAATACAAAATCGTGTGGATTTACAAAAACTTTGAGTTCATTGTTTACAGTAACGGACATTAGTGGCGGCCAGGAAAGGGGAACTCCCCAGGAATAATTTTTGAAAGTCAAATTGCTTGAATGATATATCTGTATAACAAAGCTGTACCTGTATGTCATTGTCATATAGGGCATGAAATTTAAGGCAAAAAACCCCAAGATTTCGGGTCACGAAAGCAAAAGCCAAAAGGTAGTCCATACTAATCGCCTCCCCCTGAGTGTTTACAACTTTACACCAAGTATAATTCATGTTTTACGGTTATTTAAAAATAATGACGTTTTCTTTAAGATGAATCACAAGTGAAATTTAAATTTTAACCAAATGCTATGCCCGTAAAATAAATTGCGGGTGAAACCTGCGAAAACAAATGCAAAAATAAATTTTGGGTCAAACCTGTGAAGATAAAAGCAGTAACAACGTCTTTGTTTGTTCTTCAATAATATCTAGTATAAGCAAAATCATATTTTTATTACTTTAAGCAATATCTTAACATAGGGAGAACTGCATAATTCATTGTAAACATAAATCTGCATCAAGCTAGACTTGCTTATCCAGAGAATAAGGATGTTACTCTACATATTGAACAATACACCCGTCCAGAAAGTAAAATTATATCACTTTGGCCATAAAGCCTCGCTTTCGTGTATGTGACGTTGGATAAAGCCCAACATTTCAATAATGAAAACGAGGCTCTGTAGCCAAAATGACGAAAAATGACGTACTTTCAGGAAGCGCGCATTAGTCGCACAGTTATTGTGACATTAGTAACATCTTCGTACCCAGTCGAGCATAAGAGAAAATAGCCTGGGTACGAGGTTGCATTAGTGATTGATAGATTGTGCAACAATCAGAAATTACAGATTATTCATGCCGCAATCTGACAGATGCCGATTGTATAATGACGTCATAATATCAGTCGACCGAGTAATTAAAGGTGACATTATTCATGTCGATTTTTTAACAATAATTTCCAACGTAACATGTCACTGCAACCAAAGATTGTTAAAACCGTTAATAAATGGCACGCTTCACGCATTAATTTAACATATTGTGTTAAAACGCAACGTGTATCAACGTGCAATGCATATAATTTTTAAAATGTGTATTTTCTCAACAATCGGTTTTAGACATCGGAAATAAAGATAATTCTACCGATTCCGATAAGGGAAAATTTGGGCCGACGCTGATACCTATTATCGGTGACTCACTACAGATTGTGCCTTAATGTGGTGTAAGATTGCCCTAACAAACAACCAACACACACCTTTATCATTTTTTGTCTTTGGTCCAATTATAAGGATTCTTCCTGAAGGATTCTTTTCCAACCACTTGTTGAGCACATCTGGTGCTGTTGATTTGCAATTGAGATTTTCATTTTGCGCGTCAGTCAATATTGACTGCCATTGTATGAACAGTGCTGGGAGATTAAACTTGAAAACACAGACAAATGACTAAATTGAAACTGGCAGACATATATAAAAAACTAATATTACGTGAAATATGGCACTTAATGCGTACTCAATAATTAACAGCATGCAGATTTGTTTAAATTCGACAAGAATACATTTGAAACATATAATTTCGCATTCCTAACATTGCCGAGGTAAAAAAAACTAATTATCACCAGGCCTCGAAATAAATCTGGACGTTATATCGGTCATTATGACTGGTGGATCACTAAATTTACCGGTCACAGCGGAATTTATGCCGGTCATTGTCACTCCTTAGCGTCTTTTCCCCCTCATCTTTCGCCGTGACTCGTAACTTTAGAAACAATCGTGTATTTTACTGTATTTGTATACAAAGTAGAAGTACGGCGTTTATCAAAGCTGTAGTAGGTCTAGTAATCATTACTAATAACATTAACATTGTTTACTAGCAAATTAATATATTAATAAGTCGCAAATGGCAAACTGTAGTTTAGCTAAGTTGTGAGCACGCTTTAAGGCTGCATTCCAGTTACGCGTTTTTCAAAAGTTGAAATCGCTTTATATCCTATACTTATGAAATAAGTAAATTTATGAAAGGACAGCATTCAATTTTGTGTATGATTTAATGTGTATTTGTTCTGATTATTTGCACTTGTATGAAATTTTAAAAGATTTAAACTTTTCCGTCGCACGTGTGAAAAACGCGTAACTCCCGGAAAACAAAATGACAAAATGCGTCACTTCGCCTTATTAGCCTGCATCCTAGACGGACACTTCTTTGGAAAATTGGAAATAAAAAATCTGCTCCATTTTTGAACGTACTTTTTTATTAAGAAATTTACCGGTCACGCATGTCCGCCAGGCAACGATATTTCCCGGTCAAACTGTGAAAGTTTACCGGTCAGTGACCGGTGACCGGCACTTATTTTGAGGCCTGATTATCACATTACCACAGGAAGTTTAATATGAGAAAAAATTAGTAAGAAAATACAAAATAATATACTTTATAAGATGTTCCACATATCAGCTGCGGATTAACTGTCACAATTGAAAAGCCTTCGGCAGTTGCAGGAAGTTCTAAAAGACATAAAATGTTCCCAACATCTTTAGTTCTAAAATAGACAAATTTGACTTCCACTCACTGGCTTAATTAATATGAATGGTGGCAGTGGCGTGCTGGGTACTATTTTTCTGGGGAGGCCAGTCGGCTGGCAACTAATATGCGCCCCTATAATATTACCCTTGTTAAACGATGGCCGAAGGCACGAGCCGAGCGACGCAGGTGCGAGGTTTGTCTAGGGGGGTCCGGGGGCATGCCCCCCAGGAAAATTTTTGAATTTAGAGTCTCTGAAATGCAATTTCCTGGACTTTGGGGTAAGATTTGACAGAAATCTGATGGTCAGGAAACGGCATTACAACGTGTCGAAATTTGAAAATTGGTTAGAATTTAGTAGTAGCACTTAAATTGGGCAATGCTAACTACTTCCAGCAATTAATCTAATTCCAATTCTATTCTCTACTGATCTGAATACATTTACAATTTACAGCTATTTTATACAATAACACACGAACCCCACGCATATGCATTTTAAGGTTTCCTTGCCTGGCTGCCAAAAGGGCGTGTTTCATCATTATCTCATTACTTACATTACTCATAATGTTTCTTGCGCAAACAACTAAATTGCGTACACAACTTTACATTATCATAACTTCAACTATCTAATTTGCGCCGCTCTCGTGATTCGTGAAGCATAATAAAGGGCATAATATAAGGGTTATAATACCAGCAAAAAAGGGCATAATTCCCGTGATCGCTTCGAAGTCTGGTCAATATTCTGGTAATGAGACATTGCGTGTGATCACTGATCATGTTTCTATATGAACGAGTGATTTCGTGTGAGTTGCGAGGTAGCAAATACGGTTAGACAAAATAGTCTGCAATTTAATATACTCACTTTGTCGCCTATGTGATTAGTCTGTTTATAAGTCTATAAACACATCTTTCCTTGGCGGAATTAGTAACTATATTTTTTCAAATGCGTTTCTTCCCACCTACTTTCAAAATTCGGCGCGGGAACGGCGCCCCCTTTTCATTTTCGCGCCCCCCAAAAATTGCCAGCTGGGGGGGCCGTGGCCCCCCGGCCCCCCCTGCCAGCACGCCACTGAATGGTGGAGTAACATATTGAATAATTACAGTATTTTAGTATCATATACTGTAATGTATATATTACAAAAACGTAAAATTTGTGTTAAATAAACCTGGTGGATTTAATTCACTTCTTTTTCTTGCAAACCAACAATCAAGTTTTTCAACAGATTCAGTCAGCAAAGTGGAGTTATAATCTTTATTTTCCAGTAAAGTTTGTTCAACAAGGGCCCACTCTCTGGCCCAAAGACATTGTTGATATCCTGAAGTAATGTCTGTTAAGAACTGAACGATTGTAAAGGTGCAAATGGGGACCTAGGAACACAAAGCAAAACTCAAGAATTACTCTAAAATCAAGGAAAAAAAGCCCAGAGGAAATGAATGCGGAACTGTAAAGTATATATATAATATAGAATATCCTAAACATTTTAACCATTAATGCAAGAAAGGTCTCCTCTCCATGGGTAAAATTGTTTGGTGACAGACAGAGTAAAATAATATAATCAGGGGCATTTGAGCACATCCCAGTTTAATGTGTTAAAGCAATAAGGTTTAGATGCAGAATGCATGGACAGGAATTAAGAGATGAAACCTAACTGGACGTCTCTCACTCGAATTTGTTCCTAGTACACATTAGAGAATTTAGAAAAGTCCTAGTTTAATTTAAAACTTTGTACACATCTCACAGAAAATAAGGCTATTAGATGGTATATCAGCTGGGCTTAAAATATCACTGGGAAGTTGAAGGGTCTGTAGGATTGTTTTTAAAAGCCTCAACTTGAGTGTCAGATACCTAATTAAAAGTTGAGCACTTTTCCATTGATGCCACTAGCTTCCTGATGAAGGAACTTTGCTCAAAATGTAGAAACATATCTTTCAGATAGTCAGATCATTTTACCTTTTTCTTCACAAGACTTATGTAAGATTGTCTTGTTGCAATATACCAGTTTTCATCATCAATCACAACATTCTTACCCTGCCAGAATTCATAATATTTTCAAGATAAGGAAATGGTTAAATTATACCAAATCTTTGCAGAAAGTAACTACATATATCATATGCTATTCTGTATTTTGTTTTACCTCGTTAAGTAATCCAATGACTTTCAGAATGACCAGCCTCAAATTTGAACATTTGTCTTCTTTAAAGATTTCAGAGGCTGATATTCGGGTATGGGTCTTTGAATAATGGTTGAAGTAGTGCAAGGTTTTCCCCTGTAGATTTTGAATTAAGATTTATACATTTATTGCAAGTAAGTACTGTAGTTTTAAAAGTATATAGATATATAAAAAACAAAGATATATAGAGGATATTACATGGCAGCACGAAGATATGATTTTTATCTTCGAGTGGTGAAAACAATATTTTATGAGAAGATAAAAGTCATGTATATTCAAGCCACCGTGTAATGTTCTGTTTATTATAAAGTCCTAAGTAAAGAATTGTGAAATTTCACGCTCAAAAGCAAATTGGAAAAAGTCACGTGATCGATATCTTCACTAGTGAAGATATGGAAAATATCTCACTGTGTATTTTTCAGTTTCTCACTCTCTACTATATAATAAAAATCAATAAATTAATGTAGCATAAATTACTTTAATAAAAGATGCTTACAATAAACGGAGGACCATAAAACAAAACCAATTCAACACTATTGGTCATTGTGCATAACTTTCACCCACTAAACCAATTTATTTGAATTTAAGAAAGGTTATTCTCTTCGAGATTCTCTTTCGCAAAAACTCGATCACTCCTCTGTTTGACGCCATTTTGAATTTCTGTTCAAAACTCTGCCGAGTTTTCTAGAGACTGGGCACCACTGAACTGGCCTTTTCTTCTTAATAATAGAAAAACTCTGCTAAAGCTCAAAATTGAGGCATGATATCAGTACTCAATATTCTTCGATAATAAATTAAAACACAATTCAAATCAGATAAAGAAATTTATTCTTTGTGTCTTGTTTTATTCGTACTACCATGGATTGTAAAAGAACATGTTATTTTACAATCCATGGTACTACTGAATACTCAGTCACAGAATTCACAGTATTGGATTTTTTTAAGTATAAAATTCCAGCAACAAGACAGGAATTGGTAATTATAAAAGTGGAAACATTATACAAAAATAATTCAAGATGGCGTACTTTCCAGAAGAATGGCAAGACGACAACCGCATGAATTTTATGTTTTCTGCCTTTCCTGAGAACAGAAATGTCAACCCTAAACATTGGGACAGCAAACTTCAGTTTTGGACAAGTGCCATTGTTGAAAGTTGTGACTCACTTGATGAACTATGCTTTGATATAAACGTTTTGAAATCAAGGTTTTGCAGAAGAGGAGTGACGCCACTCGGTCTAAGTACAGTACTAAAAGAAATGTTAAATAGCGGAGAGATTGTTCGCACGAGTGACTTTTTAGACTCTGTTTATGATACTTGGAGTGAATGGTCGTACGGAATGGCGAAAAAGTCTCTGTGGTGGACTGTAGGAAAAGTTTGGCAAAATAATGAAATCGAAGTCTCGCTTGTACTTCTTTCCTCTGTGAAAGTACGAAGCTTATTAAAATAGGGAATGAATTTGTCTGAAATTAGTGAGATCATAAGGATGGGTTAGGATTAGTTTTAGGATTGCAGGGATTACGGATTAGTTTTAGGGTGGAAAACGCTGGATTTATTATTTGTAAAAATTTTCAGTAAATATTTTCCTAAACTTATCAAAATTTTTCCTACAACTATTACTTTCCAATCCGAGACACTCAAATATTTTCAAAATTTGCCCGACCAAATTGTATGAATATACCCGACGAGATAGAGACTGAGAGGGGGTGTCACCCCCCCCCCCCCAAGTTTTGCCCCTTAATACCAGTGTGGAAAGTTTGTACTGTGCACCCGAGATGTGCAATTTTGATGATTTCTATATATTTACTATTAAATTTTCGAAATCTCAGCCACACAATTTTCAAATTTTCCAGTCAGGCCTGAGTATATTTAGTTGAAGACTCAAAGTTTATCAAAATTAGTCTCTTTTGAAAACATTCAGAAATCATTGCACATTCATTATAAAATCATAAAATCAATGGAGTGAATATCTAATTGGTCTAGAAGAATTTTTCCTTAGCCCTTGGGGAACAGAAGTATGTTTGCCAACATAGAGGAAATGAGTAAAAATGCATGCACAAATTAGGCCACCACAGGTTTTCATGAGCATGTAATAAATGGGTAAATCAATATGGTAAACTAGAAAGCTGCTAGAATAGATCTAACTTTCCTTACATGAATCATATACACCATATCATTGTTAGGTAGTTTTAGGTTTCACAGAATTGGCAGTAATTATAAGTGGCAATGATATTCTATACAAGTATCTATAATTATGCCAAAATCCAATAGCACTTCATTTCTCAAATATAACAGTATGCAAAATTTTGTCACACCTATTATTTCAGAAAAAGGCTGAGAAAGTGCTATCTTGTCATTATCAGTCAGTTAAACATTCAATAACTGACAATATTGTGCCAGAGAAGGTGTTAAAAGCCAGGCTGAAAGCAAGCAATGTTGAATTATCTCAGCAAGAATTTGAGATTGTTATTTGTCAGTTGAGAAAAGAGAGATTGGTTTCAGTTCATCTCTTAGAAAACGGAGAGAAGGTATAGTCATACATGCTATATTGCACATGTACAATTAAAAAGTAATGGTTTGAATTACCAAGTTTTATTTTCATAGGTGTTCAAGTTTGCTAATAAAAACGAAAGCAAAGTGGTCGCAATTTCAGAAACAGATGTGAATATTTTGAGGTGAAAAATACCTTACAATCAATTTATACTTATCCATAGGTTGCTAATACATCAGTGCAGACCACTTCCAGTGAGAAAGAGCCATAAGCATGAAAAGAGGCTACATAGTTATTATCACGACCTACGGTTAGCTTCATAGTTTCATTATATTACTCATATTCGTTTCAGTCAACGAAACAACAGGTGGCGGTCAATAGGAACAAGCAAAAGTCTTCTCTCTCTCTCTGATAACTGCTGGTTGAATGTAGTATGATATTGCAAAGTGTCACCCATTTATTCACTAGTGGAATTGCTAATCCTTATTTATTATACCCATTCATCGATAATTGCTCAAAACATATCTCTTTAGACTAAAGAAAGCCGAAGCAACAATTCAGCTGCAAATAAGAAAATTGCAAAACGATGTCGATGAGTAAGTGGTACTCAACCATCAACATTACTGTATATAAACTTATTCTTTGTCTGTCTGAAACTGCCATGTTAATTTTCTTCAACATTTCAGGTTACAGGGCATTGTTGTGGCATCAGTTAAACAAGGACTTAGAAATAAGGTTAATACTGACTCTGTTTTCTACTCTTCTTAACAACAAAGGGTTGAAGTTCAGCATAATAGTTTACACCCTGGCCAAACTAGTAAACATGTTTCCCAGAAACTTCATTTGCTAGCCATGTTTCCCGAAGGTGGTCGAAGTAGGAAACACTGTTTCCACAACAAAAACTTCTACGTCTAAAACTGACATCTAAAGTTGTTGGGAAATATTTCTGTTTAATGTGAGAAACAAATTTTGTTTCAGAAAAGCAATCGAGGAAATAGTTGTCAGATGTTTTTGCATAAATGTCTCCTAGTTTGGCTTCATGACATCCATATAAACTTGAGTTAAAGTATTGTTGAATTTGTTTTTCAGGCGAAGAAGATATTAAGTCAGAAACACATGATGTCAAAAACACTGGATAAAAAGGAATCGTTATTGTTGAATACACAAGATATACTTCGCCGAATACAGGATGCCCATTCAGATGTGAATGTGAGTTCCACAAACTCTTTGGTCCAGCACAATCTCTGGATGAGAGTCAGTGTGAAAAGCATTGTCAAGTCATACCAGTGGCATAGGAATGGGGCAAATGCTCTCCCCCCCCCCCAAATGTAAAAGGTGCCCTTAACGTAGCTTTTTGACTCGTACCCAGTTGTCAAAGCTATAAATTATACATTATGAATACATGTAGATGGAACGCCTGAAATTCTAGCCTCATCATTTGCATCATGCACCAATCCTCATTAAAGGACTGGGTATGAGTCAGCACAAGTCTTCCCTTCACAGTTAAGGTTACAGGACACCCTTTTTGGCGTTTTGCGGAAAATCGCTACTGCGCGCTCAATATCAGTCCGATTTTCATCAAATTTTCACCAAATGTTCTCCAGTGCATGTAAAATATGATAAAGTTGTAAAATTAACAAACAATAAAATAATGTAGGAATTATTCAGGTAAATCTTAAGTCGCGGTACCTTTACGCTTTTGAGTTATGCTCCTGCTGGTTTTAAGTTATATTTATGAAAATATCATTTTTATACAGTAAAATAGTTGTTCTAAAAAATTGTGTTCAGAAATTTTTGTTTATTTCGTCATTCCGCTGATATGGCGATTTCTTTGACGACTGCAATATATTTCTGAATTGTTCGAGAGAATTGCTCTTTATTTTTAAAATATCCAAAATTTAAAAAAAGCCGAACACAATTTTGAAGCTGACGTATTTAGCTATGTCCTGTGAAAATTTGAAAAAAATTGGTTAAAACCCGCAGGAGCACAACTCATTTGAAAATCAGTAATTACCTGACTAGAACTAGTCTAATGCCTTCATCGAAACCAATAAAAAAATTTTAGGCAAAATTAACACTCAAAGGTGTTCTGTAACCTTAAACATATTTTTGAACCGGGAACACATCAGGGCGCATTACTGCTTATTGGGTAAAAAATTGTATTATTGTCATTTATTATTTAGGTTATAGAAGCGCTAAAAGCCGGAGCACAAGTGTTTAAAACAATTTCGCAAGAATCTGGTTTAACAATCGATAATGTGGAGAAAATAATGGGTGAAGTTGAAGATGTATGTATTTATCACGATAAACTTCAATGATGTACTGTATCAATCTTAGTAATCATTGTTGCAGAAACATTTGAAAGTTTCCATGAAAGTTTCCCCCTGTTTGCCTGCCCATGAAAACATTGTTTCAGAAAGCAAAGTTGTTTCCTAAATGCGGAAACAATGTTTCCTGCGTTCATGGTTTCCCACCTTCATGATTTGCTTACCTTTTCAGACATGGCTATAGGAAATAAAGTTTCGGCAACATTGTTATTTGGTTTTATCAAAGCATTAGTTCTAATTGTCTTAGAGCGCATTTCAAATAAAACGCTTGCTTTGCAGACTAATTATTCTTATCACTTATGGCTGCCTATTTTTTTTAGGTAATGGACGAAACAGCTGAAATTGATCGCACAATAAGCGAAGGTACTATGAAATAACTTGTTCAATGCCGAGTTGTTAGTTTAGGCAGTAAATGCAGCAAATACTAAATATAACGTGTTCCAGGTTCCAAATCAATTGCAGCGTCGTCTGGCGTAGCAGAAGATTATATGGAAGACTTGGAAAAAGAGCTTGAAGATCTTATGAAGGACGAAAGCACTGCGGGTATGTTTGACGTTAAAAACCTTGTCTGGTCACTATTCAGTGATCAGAATGTTGTGTTTGTTTTGTTTTTACATTCGTAAATGGTCAATGTTTTGCATACATATTTACACGTAAAAGATCGACGTTTTGAAACTGTTGTCCATGCCATCCAGTGACTCATTGTTTTTGACTTATTTTAGCATTTATGCCAAGGACCTACATTCACATTTTCAGATATTAAACTCGCGTTCCAATTTCATAAAAATGCAACCATAAAAATGGAACAAAGTTAAATTAGATGTGTTCTATGTTGACTTGGTGCATAGTGGAAACTTAGAGAACTCCCTTACGTTTTCAACTTTGTACATTTGTTAGTCGTAAACATATATGATACTATATACATTTGGTTATACAGTAGCAGCCTCTCTGAATTGAACAATTGCGTTTTTTAGCAACCGAAATTCGCGGTCCTGCTGATGCAAAAGAAGATCTGGTGTCAAAACTCCCCGACATACCAAGCTTCAGTCCGGGCAGAGAGGAAAAAGTAACAAGAACAGCGTTAACAAGCTGAAAACCCAAATTAAAACTATTTAACCCTATGCCGCCACTAAACATATTTACCAGATTAGAATTCAAACATCTCATCGCAAAATGATGTTTATAATTTTATATGATCCCTTGTACTAAAGAATAGTTGATACAGTATATAACAAAGGTAAACCTGGTGATGGAAGAAAGCATCAAAACGTAACAGAATCTGATGCAAAATTTCGTGTCATGTTGCAAAAATGACTAATTATTTTAATTATAAGAATGCGCGAAAAAATCTACTATTGACATGCAAATACTTCAATGACGTAACTAATAAGCTCATGGGATGTGTGATGAAATTAATAAATCGTCCACAAGACTCTAACTACAATTGTAATACCAATTCTTTGCAAAATATTATATTTATTCTATATAAACAAGAGTGGAATGATTTTATGTAAAAATTAATACAAATTATAGTGGCCGTCAATATTTTCTCAGATGAAACACACATACAATGCAATCCCTTTGAGTTACAATCTTATCATGCATGGACAATGTCCCAGATTTTGACAGAACAATCAGCAGCTGTTGTCGCTAGCTGGTTATCAGTCAACCAAGAAACACCTACGACGCTACTAAGACGATGTGCACCTAAAGTGGATACAGAACAGAGTTTAGTTTACCATAGCAGGAAATAATATTTTTGTTGCTGAGATCCTGAGTTGTTAAAGATTTCTGCCGAGCTGGTACTGGTTATTGCCGCGCTAGTACAAACTGAGTACTCGGCGTATACTTATGGTCATTAAAATAAGGTTCGTACAGGTTTCTGAAAAGTACTTCAGATTACGAGTAGAAAAAGAAGCACGATTACATATACATAATTCGCTGCACCGAAAGGGCCGCGATTCCTGCCAGAGGGTCTATATAGTTGCATTTTTCGCAGCTGTTCCAAATTGCTTGCAATCTTTCGCTCGTTATTTCCATCTACAACAACCCCTCATCTTTTCACCAGAACTGTTGCTTGTAATATCTTAGCTACTGAGGGGTGGCTGTACGTCCTTATAAATGCAGGATGGTGTACCCTAGGGGCGGGGGCAACGCCGGGTTCAGCTTGACACTGAAAGAACACGGCACTCAGGCACTGGGTTGAAGTCAGTACTACTATACACATACCTTTAATGACGACTTTCTTAGACGATTCAACACTCCAAATGAAAACGTTGGTATCAAGCGAGCCAGAAGCGAGATGTTGTGAATCGGAGGTCCAACATAGAGACGTTATACGACTACTGTGACCGCACCAGCCCAAAGACAATTCCTAAAATAACATACACCAGAAAGACGTTAAGGCGAACGAGCGCCTAACATGCGCCTTAAAACATGTCGAGCGTCTTTCACAAACAAGTTAAGGACATGTTAAGTTTATGTTATACTTGCTTTTGGTGCATACATTATTGTACATAAAGCAGACATGTGCATGCATGTCATTGACTCTAGTGCGTGCTAGAAAAAAGCGCCTTGAATCACGGAGAACTGTACTTGGCAAACACCTTCGGTTTCGTTACGGTTGTGAAAAACGTCGCTTGCTTGAGCTCTCTATAAAATTGATATATGGAAAAGATGACGTGGATCAGATCGGTAATTACCTGATAATCTGTCGTTACGTAAGCGTTCACATCTTTGCCAGCATTACCAACTCCAAGAAAAGCTCCATCTGGTGAATATTCAAGCACCGATATTTCACGAGCTAGGTCCGAGACTGTGTGTTTTAGATCACTGATTGTATCATTATCCAAGCTATACACATACAGTTCATTTGCCTGTAAAATAAATATTTACATCATTCTCCAAAATACAGACATACAGTTCGTGTATTATAAATGTTTGTTTTGCTAGTACAGGAGGAAGAAAGCGAAAGATTAGTTTATAGTCCTAGACATTGACATTCGTTCAAACGAGACCAACATGTTGGTCTGACATTACTCAATATTGAGCTCATTTCAACACTACAATATGTTGTGTAATATTGGCTGATGTTGGATCGGGTGTGATTTTATTTAACCCAGTAAGTTGCATTGCGCCCCATTCCCCCATCATTCAACAACATTAAGTTTGTTCGTTCACTGCAACCAGGTATATCAATCATGTTTCGCTCGCTACTCTGGTTTAAATAAATGATTATAAATCCCAGTCGAATTGTAATCAAGACCCAAAGTGTCTTCTCAGGAGTGATCATACGGTGACTGCGAGAAGGAGTATTTGGGTCAGTCTAAACGCCAGTTTGGTACACGGCTAAAAGAACATCAAATAGCTGTTTCTACTTTAGACAAGGGAAAATCAGCTTTAGGTGAACATGTATGTTACACCAAACACGAGATTGCGTGGGAAAACTCTAAAGTAATTACCACAAACAATCGCTATGGTCAAAGACCATGCCTAGAAGCGTGACACATAAAGAGTAATCATGCTTTGAATATAGGGATGACGGTGCCTATTTGCCAGAGGAATACATGTATCTCATTTGAGAAGCCACGATTGCAACTTTAGATCACCCCTGATGAAGACACTAGACTGGAGTGTCGAAACGTTGGGTCTTGATTACAATTCGACTGGGCTTTGTAATAATTTATTTAAACCAGAGTAGCGAGCGAAACATGATCATTAAACAATGTTGGAACGAGTGAAATACCGCAAGCACACAACATCCCGTGTACAAAGCCTAATTGTACAAAACTGTTTTCGTTCACTGTATATTTTACATAATTCATAGTACAGGTATACATTTCAGTAACACATACCGTTTGACTTCCAACTGCAATTTCTGTTTGGTTTGGATGAATACTTGCTGCAGAAGGTTGATATTCAAATTTCTTACTTGAAACTTTCTTCCCATTTCGCGTGACAACAATCTACAGGGAAACAACATTTTTGTGTTATATTTATCCGTGACTTGGATGAAAATTTTGAATAGGATGAACATATCATCACCCATCAGTTCACAAGACAAATAAAATGCTAAAAACAAATCCACGATGTTGGGCACGTTTGAACGAGCCTTCACAATCACATCCACGGGCTTTAATTCCAGAACAAATTACATTCACGAGCCAATGTTCCTCACCCCTTAATGAAGACACTAGACTGGAGGTTTTACACTGCTGGGTTGTTTTTGTAGTTAGTTGGCGGATTGCATTCACTTAAACCAAAGTAGCAAAACATGTCTAATACTGAACATACAGTAACATGACGAGCAAATACAGACTCATTTACCGTTTTATCTATACAAATGATCACTGCTAAACCATCCTTGCCAACAGCTAGATTGATTGGTTGAGCATCAAAGGCTACACTTTCTCCACTGCAAGAAAACAACAGAGACATTGCTTAGAAACGCATCAACATGAATCACCATGAGTAAACACGACGGTGATAGCCAACACTGGTAATTATCTCAATCTTGTTGGTTCATGACGTATAACAGCACTAGACCAGACTGTTGAACCGTTGCGTCGTGAATGCAATGCAACCAGGCCTTAACCAGGCCAAACTATGTTCCTCAACAGTCCTCGATGTTGCTGCTAGGTTTGCGACCCAAAAATGGCGGGCAAGGCCGGGTCGCATGGCAGAAGAAAACTAATTTCTTCCTTATATAGGTGAAGATCAAGTTTTCGCGCAATTTACCTGTATTCGTTTGTTTCAGTCGAAGTTACCCTGAACGAATCATCCATACTAATAGAATACAGATTTGATCCATGAATAGCTATCTTCGAGACCTGGTTCGAGTGATGTTTTCCAGCAAGCGACTCGCACAATCCTGTACTCACATCCCAGCAGTCTGGGAACTAGTTAAGATTTACAACTGTTTATATCTTTTGGCACTGATCTCGATATAAAAATAGGATCACGACGTTAGACAGGGTAAACTAATTTGGCGTTAGAGTAAAATAGGGTGCATTGGGGCGTAACTCGACGGGTTTTAATCATCAGCACAGTAAAGCACAACGTCCTTTACTTAATTTTAATTCTCTTTAATAACTCGAGGAAATTATATCCGTGAACCTTCAACTTTAAGCAATGAATGAATGGAATATCATTCATCAGATTCATGCCTTTAAGATTATTGACGAATACGAACGTTTTCACGAAGACGAATCACTAACTATATTTGCCTGATTATTGTATAACATGTACACTTGTGTTTGAATGTCTTATCTTACGCACAATGATCTCTGAGGAAACAGGCGGCTGTGCTGACAATTGTGCTAGCCAAGGCGCAATCACAAACCTACTGCATCCCCCTAACTGAAACATGAAAATATACAATCACCCACATGAAAAGGACGTCATTAGACGAGTACAAAAAAAGGTCAAATGTGCCCAGTATTACTGTCGGTAAAGCTTTCTAACCTCGCCTTGCTAACAATAAGCTATAATTTACAAGTTTTAAAGGATACAAATCTGTCCGTCATAACTAGCAGTGTAAATATGTTTCTTATCTTCAGTAATGGTGAAACATGTGATATTTTTGTTGTGACCCTAAATGACGATGAGAAATATTTAAATATTTACATGCAGATTAAAAACCCAAATTTTTAGTTCTTGGAGGTCTTGGAGAGTTACTCAAAGGATATCAACTTTCAGCATTCATAACTGTGTAAACGTAAGGCCTGAGAAAGATAAGATATTTTGAGGGAAGGTCGAGAAGTGTTTTTACATGACAGAGAACCTTTTACATGCGGTCGAGAATCAACATTCAAAGTTGTTCACATTGTCACATGTCAAATAGAGCTTGTATTATTTTATACCTTTAAAACTTTCTTTGGTTGACTTGGGTTGTCTGTATCGAGGTAGTTAATATATCCAGATAATTCAACAGTCAAAAGATAATCACCCATCCAGAGACATGCTAATTGTTGATGACATATGTCTGAACCAAATGTGAATTCCCTACAAAGCAATGAGTGTGAATTTTGGAAACCAAGCAAAGGAAAGTGCAAATGACTAAGGAATTTGCTTTCAAAGTAATAGTTAAGGTCTACTGCAAATTCATCATAAATATATATTTTCATATATTGGAAATTTCACTACGTGAACTGGTGTGGAAATTTCACGTTTTGCTGCATACTGATTGTAACCTTCTGATCTCACACTGTACATTTTTTTATTTTCTTTTGGAAATTCCCTGATAAAATTGGTTGCAAGTTTCAAGAAGGCACATTAATTCTCATTGAGTCTGAAAATTCACACTTCATATTATAATATAAATTTCTTTGTAATTTATTTTGACTGCATGTAATTGATGATCTTTCTATATCTAGTAATCTAATAAGGCTGTGCTATAAAAAGAGCTTAATACAAGAAACGGTTTCTATATACTGTCCGTAGTTCTGTTTTCCATGATACTTACTGAACACAGGTGTTTCCATCTACATCAAAGATTTTTGCAGTTTTATCTCCCGAGGCTGTGAGCAAATGCTTGTTGTCTGCACTCCAGGAGACCTGGTTCAATAATATGCATGTTTGAATTCATTAATTATAGATGTTTCTGTGCAGGTACAATGACATGTACAATTAATGGAATAGGCAATCATTCCAAATTACAGTCGACTGCCCACAGACAATAGCTTGAGAACAACACTTCATGGCTTTATTATTAGCATGACAAAATTACTGGATGCTGATTGGTTGAGAGGAGTACAATTACCTTATTATAGGAAATTAACAATGCACTTAATTTATGTGATCGTTAATTTTAAGTATGTAATTTTCATTTATCGTTAGTTAAAAATACCTAGATTTGTTTTATATAACACTAACTCTTTTAATATCAAAATACAGCATATTAACGTAAACTAAAAACATCAGTGCTCCTCTTAACATTAAACCTTTGTTGTTGTTGTTGTTGTTGTTGTGTCTATAGTTTCCGATTTGCGTTAATTTAATTAATTTATCAACCATGGAGATCAGATTCGCGTTAATATAATCATGTTTTAAAAGACCTGGAAGCAATCTGCGTTAATTTGATGTCGCGTTAATTTGATGTCGCGTTAATTTGATGTCGCGTTAATTTATGTCGCGTTAATAAAGTGTATCGTTAATTTCCTATAATAAGGTATTTCATTAATTGTACTGCAGTACAATTAATGATTTTCACAAAACAAAGAAAATGGCAGAAAGGTATTTTGAAATACGAACAAAAGCACCAAATTTTGCTTTGACAAAAGAACTAAATGAAAATACGAACAAAAGTACCAAATTTTGGCTGAAAGTCTGGCAGAACTGGTCTTTGGCAAGAGAATATGATGTTGACGGAGAAGTATCCAATTTTGTCATATGCTAATATAAACAAGTAATCATGTGATGTTTGGAAACATCACTCATCGCATGATTACCTATACAAATTATAATGTTTCTATAGTAAAGTAAGTCTTGACTTGGTGCTATTGTTCTTCTTGACATTAGACTGTAACTTAAAACAGTTTATTATTCATACTCTTCCACATAAAATCTGAAATTTAAATTCTTTTCTGTATCCTACTGGTTACCATAAATCTTGGCATCCCTCAACTAGGGAACAAGTTATTCATTGTTTGGTATTCAAAACCAAATTTTAGTATCCTATGGATATGGGGATTCTGCAGATTTCAGAGCCTGGCATAGCACATGTGTGGTACTGCACCTACATCATAAATGCCTCCTTTGTGTGCTGGACTTCCAATTTCCCCTGTAAGTTCACCCGTATTCCCATCATACATCAACAGCTACAGAATTATAAAATACAATATGTTACCAATGCTCTATACGTCATAAAAATACAGCTGTAGTACCGGTAATTAACATTAATAATTATTAGAATTGGTTAAAGATGAAAAATAATTTGGATAACATACCTTGCCATTACTTGATCCGGTGACATATCGTTCTCCATTTGGTGAAAATCTGGCGACATTGACAAAATTTTGATGCTCCTAAAATGATAGATTGATACCACAAATATTATATAATAAGTCAAATACTTAATTATTATTTTACTTTTACCCTAACACCAGATGACTTTACTTGTCAAGGAGAGAGCACTGATCATCTCAGTCATCTGCCCATGTGTCTACAGTTGCATTCTAATGCTCCCTACTTTATTATTTTATTCTGTCTAATGCCAGATTATTTTACTTATCAACAGGAGAGCACTGGCACTCAATGGATTAAGCTTCAATTCACACTACTTTGTGCATTTTATTTGGTTTCACAGTTGTTATTATACCTTGTTTGTAAACTTGAGTTTGAATGGAGGTCCTTCATAGAATCCCGAGCTGTAATCCTCGCTTGCAGTAATAACACGAAATGGCCGAGTTGACTTGTAGTCAATTGTGTTGACAAGTTTTGCATGACCCATCATTTGACCCACTCCTGACCCAGTGTCCATAAGGAAAGCATGTGCAAACCTGGAAAACAATTTCATTAAAAACACAACACTTCAAATTCATGCTTAAAAATGTAATACTTCACCAATGCTTAATTTAATCCAGCCATACTGTGGGGGAGGAATTTGGGTTGGACAAAATTTGGGTTTGACAGTTCGTGGGTATATTAATTTTACATTTAACATCACCAGGGGGGGGGGGGGGCATTTTGCCCTGCAAGAATTAAGTTAACTCTCTTTCAACATTACATTACCATTCAATTTTGCTAATGTCCCCTTCGAACGAGGGGTCAAGTGCTGTCAAAACATTACACAAATATTATGAAGTATTGTATGACGCCTAGCTATAGTGTGGAATAAACAATATATGTATTCACTCACAATCCTCGGCCATCTCCTCCAACTGCAATCCTCTTGCTATCGGGTGACCAAGCAATATCTCTTATTGCACCACCAAGTGGTTGATACTCTGCTTTTAATGGATGCTCCTTTTGCGTTGTATCCCAGATCCTTACTTTCCCAGCAGCATCTGAGAGTGAATAACATATATACTAGTCTTATTAGTAAGAAAACTATTTAAATTAAAATACATATCAAGTTTTATTACTGTGTATATAGTAACTATAATGTAAGTGGGAAACTGGGAGGACTATCCTTACTTGCAACTGAAAGCTAAAATGAATTGTGAAGGATGCATCTCAACCTCATAGAGTCGAAGGCTTTCTACATAATTGTGCCTCTGACTGCCATCTTGTGATTCATGTCTGATGATGCACAGCAATGTACATGTTGTGCTGCTATACAGTAATAATTGCAATAAGACAATGTTACCACAGTGTGTCATACCTCCAGAACAAATGTAGAAACCACTTGGGGCATAACAAGCTGAAAATACTTCATGAGCATGCTCTGTATAAACATCTGCATTCATTGGATTCTTAATCACAAAGGTAAATAATTAATATACTAATATAGTTGTACATTTCTTTACCGACACCAATGGGCACCTCTCTATCATGGATAGTTTATTGTTAATCACAAAGGTAAATAATTAAATACTAATATAGTTGTACATTTCTTTACCGACACCAATGGGCACCTCTCTATCATGGATAGTTTATTGAGGACAGTAATTTTGGTCAAGATTTCCAGACAAAATCCATACTCTACCCACAGAGGAAATTTCTGCTGTCCGCAAAAGGAGAAAAATCTGTTCTGATAATAGCATTTGTATTAGGACATCTGAAGGGGGAATTAATTTTCAATATCCCCCATAGAACAGGTATAGACATTTTTCCGGAATGATCCATTATGACACTACTGGAACAAAACTAGGGGTGCACCGGATAGTGATTTTTACTATCCGGTTGGATACCGGATTTGCTGGATATGTGAAAAAAATCCGGCCAGATTCCAGATATTTTATCAATTTGAATACTTGATATATAATATACATTTACAAGGATTTTTCTCATCCATGTATTAGTGCAGAAGAAGGTGACACTATTTTTTTGAATTTTTGAGTAAATAATCAATTATGGTTAACTAAAAATCTGTTTTTAACTTTTTCCACTGTTCATGTGTTTGCAAAAACTTCCGAAAGTTTTTGAGCGATGGGATTTAGTATGGCTTTTGGTGCCAAATGCCGCGAATAGTTAATTAATTCAATTAATTATATCAGTTGCTACCTTTTTCACCTGTCCTTTTTTGGGTTTCTATTTTTTTAGTATGTTTCAATTAACAGAAATTTAGTACACTTCATGAAAAACAAAATATCTGGTATCTGGCCGGATAATAGTAAATATTCGGCCGGATACTGGATAGTACGATTTTGTTGCTATCCGGCCGGATACTATATCCGGTGCACCACTAAACAAAACTAACTAATTTTCTGGTGTGGAACATTTTCACAGGTTACAATGTAAATTATTTCAACAGCATTATCAGATACACAGTAATCACAGCCATATACAGCACGACACTTTCCAAAAAGAATGGTGTGACAAAAATTGGGAGGTTCATAGGTAGGCAAATGCCGACCTCGTTTTCGAGGGCTGTAGACAGAATGTATATTCTAGACACATTTGATGCATAACTTTAAAGAAAACTTGTCGTGTATTTAATATCACCTGTTGTATGAATGTTAAAAATTGCAGCAAACTCCTTGCTCTCAGAACATGTCACAAAACTATTTTACTCATCCCACCTCCCAATCATCTAACCACTCAACCAGGAAACAATTAGTAAATAATTACGATACACCGGTATATGAATTCAAAGTAGCTTTCATTATTAAAACCATCTAAGACAAAAATATGTAATAGAAACCCATATTTCTCTAACAGATAGGTAGCAAATTTGTTATCCAAGTTCTACATACCACTGCAACAGAGACATATGGTAATGAAAACAATTAAAATACCTCAACATCTCTGATTATTACACCTTTGTTATGCGAATATAACATATATTTTCCTTTTGGATCGCCTTTGATGCAAAGCCTCCTGCCTCTCTGAGTGCGAGGCAACGCAGCAAATGTGTGTTCTTTAAAGAAAGAGAGCAGAGGATCAGTATTTAACACTAACACAGTCTAAACACCCGCAGCTTCGACCGAGAATTGCAAACAGTGGTTAATAAACACTGCCAGGTCGAATTATCTGTGAGTTTAATCTTCATAAAAACGGCTAAAAACCCATTATGTAAAGCATTATATCGAAGCAAAAAAGACAGAAAGGAACACAAGCTACTTACTTAAGCTGTACGACATCCTGACAAGCAAAATCAAACGCTATTTCTGCAAAACGTTGAGAAAGTTTGACTTATAAAGCTTCTTCTTGTCCAGACGTGAGGCGTAAACCAGTTGTTTGACTTCCGGTATGACGTCACCGTCATATCATCCCAAAGAAAATGCCATATTTGGGAAATAAAACGCGATCGCAAATTTCCTTATATCTGATGTATTTAAATAAACATTTGGTAATTCGTTATTTATGGTCAATACCTCATAATTTTGTAAACTAATAATTTTTTGGGCGAGCTGAAAATTGCTTGACCACGGTGGGAATGGAACCAAAGCTCCACTGAGTTCAAATACACACGTGACGGTGAAGACGGTGAAGGAGCAAATTATGAATAAACATTGACTAACGACTAACATAGATGAGTTATATTGTTATTCTAATGAGTTTCACAGTCATCGACTTCGATAGACTATGATTAGTGTTATAGAAACACTCCACTTTCATCTCACTCCTTTAGGCAAAATTTTGCACGCCCCAAGGGAAATTTCTTAGAAAGAGGATGAGGAATGGAATATTGTCAGCTGACAGTTGTCAAGTCTTCTGAAATCATTATTTGACTTATTTCTCCAAGTGGCTCCCCAAGCCCAAGGCAAGAAATGCCGTTTTAGAGATCCAGAATTCTTTTTTTTTTCGGGGGAGTTATCCCCCGGACCTCCCTAGAATTGTGACTTTACAAAGTACTATACCGCGAATCTCCTCCGAAAGAGTTTGCGGAAATCTCTGCGGAGAAGAGGTTGATGATAGTGGCAGGTACGAGGTTGTTTAGACGGTAAGAAAACTAGATACAATTATTCGTATATAACATTTATTCGCGTATAACTAAGCGTATACCCATTTTTGTTACAAAAACTTTACATGGACTATCATCTTTATGGATAAATATGCGATAATCAAGTACAGGCCAATATCATGTTCTATAATACAAAGATATATTTAAAACATAAAACCACTTGTATTACAACACAGAAGCGAAGGAGTTTGGATAAAACCTCGAAATTGGTTCAAATATACATGTATTATTGATCGTATCGACGCATTGATCCCCATCAACTCGAAACATTCACATTTGGAAGTCCATATTTTCAGATGATTAAGACATCAGTTTCCAGAGTCATGTACCCCTAGAAAAAATAGACACGCTGTTTGTCACAAGCGTAGACGAATACAGGCTAATCCCATATGACTAAGCTCCCTCGTGTGAGCGCCGGAGGTCTTCGCTTCAATAAGCGGACTTGCACCAAAACGAAAATCACAAATAGCATTGCGACCACCAGGAGTTGGTTATATAATAACTCTTAAATCTTTTTTAACTATCCGTTTCGTAGTTAAAACTCTACTGCGATTCTGATTTTGGTAAAATTACGTTAAAACATCATGTTATAACATAAAAATATTTACAATGGATTTAATATTACCTGCCCGTACGAGATCTTTGGTTTCACCAACTGGAATTTTTCTGAGAGAGGCAAAGGAATTTCCATCGCTAAAAAGACAAAACAAATGCATGCTTTCCAGCGTGGCACATATTAAACGAGAAACGTGGGCTCAACACATTTGAATCTTTCGCATATTAGCGCGTAGAAGTTGTCAAGCAAAATATTCTAGCATGAAATTTCAAAATGGTGCAACGCGATGGTGTATAAGAGCTTGCAATAGTACATTATGAGAGCATGCAGAAGGTTGTAAAGGGATATTAGAATCCATGAGGCCATTAGGCATGTATAGACCAGGACTTGTATCGTAATTAATATTTCTTTACCTGAAATACCATTCTCCAAAAGTTTTTCAATTTGTTCTTTAACAATTCTTTTCATCTCAGCCACTCTTCCCTAAATGATAATAGGAATCAATATGCAAAAAATGTTTTCTCTATTGTATTTAAAACTCTTTCAGCGTAACAATAATATAAACGACAAACTTCAACAAACTATGAAAAAGTATTATACCGATAATGCTGTGAACACTGTCTGATTCAGAACTTTTGTATTTATCCTAAAGATAAAAAGACAATAATTATGTTAACTCTGTATGTTAACGTTCATTATTTATAACTTAGGGTGGGACATTCTTATATCATATAGAAAAATCATGGAACACCCTCCTCTTTAAGATGTTCTTAATTAACGAAGGGCCCCCCTCCTCTCTATAAATATGGGTATAAATAATGAACGGTCCCCGGGTCCCTATATAATGAGAACAATTACGTTATATACAATATATTAAAAAAGAATAAATCTTACTTAAAATCTGTGATATTTGTACTCAAATTTGTTCCATTCAATTTCGGAATTGCAGTTGCAGTGACGTTCTAAATGAAAAAAAAACAACTCAATATCTTGACAAGTAGTTGGTTCTCGTTGTTTTTCGCGCGGGCATTGGAAATGTGGGAATTCAAAGTTCTATAATTGACAAAGTAAATTTCGTTAGGTAATTCGAGGACAATGTTGACCCATTTCAAAGCAATGGAAAAAAGTCTACAGTCAACTTCAATTACTGTAACACTATTCAGGTTATTTAATACAAACCGTTTCAAGATCCAGCCATTGTTTGATGTTATTGGGCAATACTACATAGATCTTTGCCATTGCATGAACAGTCAAATGTATCCCAGAATGACTTGTTCTAATTTGCGGTGGTGACATAGCTGCCAAAGAGATATGGAGGTCACAGGTCGAACACGCGGACTGCTTGATCTACACAGAAAATATATGTTCCGTTTTGAGCCGGATGAGAGTTGAGGACTCATTTGACCAGGCCTTAAAAGATTTCTTAAAGATGAAAATTTAGTATGACTTACTAGTCCTAGACCAGTGTTTATGCGCGAGAGATAGCTCTCAGGAATTCTCGTCTTGGCAAACAGTTGAGGCATCTAAAAGAAAACATTTAATAAATAATGCTAGGATATGATAGATATTTTCAGAGGGGGATTTGTATACCTTTTTCTATTTTCTGCAAATAGAATAGGCAATAGATTATTATAATACAATAGGTTAAAATAGAATGGTTTAGAAGAGAATATAGTTTAGATTCTAAACGACTATATTCTCTTCTAAACTATATTCTCTTCTGAAGAGAATATAGTTTAGAAGAGAATATAGTTTAGAAGAGAATATAGTTTAGAAGAGAATATAGTTTAGAAGAGAATATAGTTTAGAAGAGAATATAGTTTAGAAGAGAATATAGTTTAGAAGAGAATATAGTTTAGAACAGAATATAGTTTAGAAGAGAATATAGTTTAGAAGAGAATATAGTTTAGAAGAGAATATAGTTTAGAAGAGAATATAGTTTAGAAGAGAATATAGTTTAGAAGAGAATATAGTTTAGAAGAGAATATAGTTTAGAAGAGAATATAGTTTAGAAGAGAATATAGTTTAGAACAGAATATAGTTTAGAAGAGAATATAGTTTAGAAGAGAATATAGTTTAGAAGAGAATATAGTTTAGAAGAGAATATAGTTTAGAAGAGAATATAGTTTAGAAGAGAATATAGTTTAGAACAGAATATAGTTTAGAACAGAATATAGTTTAGAACAGAATATAGTTTAGAACGAAATAGCAAAGAGAAGCAAATTGCAATGTTTCGTGCACAATATTCTTACGGTTTTTTATATGGCTCGATATCAAAGGTTGTTACCGAACATTACCGCAACTTGTATGACGTCATCTTTACTTGCGTTGTCAACATTTTATAATAGACAGATTTAGATGACGTGAACGTCAAAGATGACGCGTGAAAATGGCGTGGCATACCATACGGCACAACAAGCCATTTTCACGTCGTCGTCTTTGACGTCCGCGTCTTCGATCTAAATCTGTCTATTAGTTGCAATTACAGTAAAATTACCTGTTTTACTGCGACCTGCACTCGCATGGCATTCTGGTTATAATATGCATGACTTGCGCTATTGATCATGTGATCCATAATTGTGACGTACATCATTCGATCACGAGAGTCATCACGTGACAATCCAGCGGGTTGGTGTAGCCAGGTCCTGTCACCACCTGACGGTTGAAATTCACCCTGAAAAATGAGATTAAGAGATTAACCAGTCTCAGAATTGTAACGTGTTACCAAGTTAACTTCATCCCTATAACACCTTTCTTCTCTACTTCTCAATTATATTATAGTAGCAGTTTTGAAACGAATGACACATCCTACCATTGACATTCACTGGTAGGCTTGTAGTAAAGAGCAATGCCACCCATGCATGCTTTCTAAAGGTTAATTGTACCTTTAAAAAGAGATCGACAGCGTCAGTTTTATACTCAGGTTTCTTCACAACAGAATAGTCCAGCGTCACTGACTTCTTCAGATGTTGTTTCACTGACAATAGATATTACAACAATAGTTACAGTATGATCAATGCATTTTAAGTTAACATTGAATACCGTTTCGTTTCCCATGAAAGATCCAATTCTTAGATGCCTTGAGAATTGAATTGAGAAATAATGTCAGATTACCTGGAAATTTTGCAAATTGCTCGTTCAAGTTTTTCTTTATTGCTTTTTTCCCTTCTTGACATGCCTACAGCAAAATATGTGTAATTCATACCATACAATCCAAACCTACCACGACAAAGCATACCATACTATCTCCAACTTAATAATAACTCATGAGGAACTAAGTCAACTATATACTTAATTTTAAGTTCTTTGTATGTTTGCATGGCGATAAAACATGTAATAGTTTTGTTTGTGGAAACACCACTTTAATTTATTATGCAGTAATAAATTTACGTGGTGTTTCCACAAACAAAACTATTATACTTAATTTTGCTCGCGTGATGAATATAAAACCGGATACTATACCCGAAAATACTGCTCGTAAAAACTGGAACTTTTTCAAACTTACAATTTTTGGAATCTTTGATTTTACAAAACTGTTCATAGTTCCTTTGATCCACGAAAAGAGAAAACTAAAAAATTGAAAAACTATTCCGGTTGAGTTGGAAGAACTATGAATTCAAACAATTTCTAAAAATTCAGCATTTTGGGAAAGGAAAAACAAAAACATAGTGACATGAACAAGACAATCAACAAATGTATTCGATACTTAAGTGCCCAGATGTGGCTAATAAATACATTCTTCTAAAACGAAGGAGGATTTGGACCAACATCACGTGCTAATCTGAACTGAAGCAATGCTTAATCTAGTGCAGAGACGTCAGGGAAACAAGTCTTAAGTTTTGTAGTTACAACGGCAAAAACTATAAAGTACTCTGGATAAAGAAAGGCAGAAACGGAAGAAAGAAAAGTTGGACGATGGCAAGTGTTTTTTTCAAAACGAGCCGCAATAGAATAATGGGACATTTTTAGCTGCTGCATTGGAAAATAGTTTAGCTACTGCATCGTGACCAGAAATCATGGATGTAGTTTATTTTACTTCCATAACAATTTTTAATAAGCATTGCTGAAGTTCGAACTGCCACCGAAAACGTATAAGCGTCCTCTCAAATAAGCCCTCTTTTCTAGAGAAAGGCAGTTGTCAAGCTCCTTTTCAATTAAGTTCACCCACCCCTCAAACGTGCCTGAAATAAATAAACCCTAGGGGGTAGGGACTTAATGGGAATTTACAGCGACGCATCCCAAAATTGTAAGTGTTGCTTTCACCTTGTAGCTTGTCCTGATTTCAGATCGATGTCAATGTTTTCAAGTTTTGAAGCACACTTTATATCGGAAACGACAAGCCGATCACCATTTACACCTGAAACAGACATATTTAGATTAAAAACTTTCAGTAAGCGTTTTGGGACAGCAGGAAGAAAGGAGAATCTGCCATTTTGCCATCAAATACAAAACTACTACAGAAATAAATTCACATTATTTCATCACTCTGGTCAAAACTAGCGGTCGAGCACCATCTACTACAGATAATGCTAAGCGAAACATTACATTCATTGTTTTACAAACCTAGGTGGATAAGAATCCCAACAGACATGCCTTGAACTGCAACACTGAAAGTACCAGAATTGGTAAACCTGGAAATTTCAAGTTTGTATATTTATTTATTCACAAATGTGGAAAGGCATATTTCTAAATTAGGTGGATGTCTTCTTTCTTTTGTAAGATGAGTTAAACTTACCAACTCGCCAAATTGATTTTCCACTTTCCTTTGATATCAAAATCAACGTTTCTTAAAAGAGTATACAATCCTTTTCTTGGTACTGGGCGCAGAGATTTGTTCGTGATGTTAATATTATATACAGTCATGCTGAAAGAGAATTATAGCGAATTTAGAAAATAATAGGGAGCACCAGGGTGCATTGCCAGGGTCACCCGTGTTGGATGACGCACAATGCATTTACGACGTTCATGTGCGGGACACTCTTTGATCGTGAAGTAATCTTCCTATAAGTACAACTTACTTGGAAAAGGCGTAATTTACGTCAAAGGCAAAATTGGAAATTTTTCCTTTCGTGTCTGGCAAAGGGTAGTTTTCTAGCTGTGTTTTGGCATACTTCATAGCGCTGTCAATTGCTATAAATGAGTTAAATACGTCAACATTACCAAAATGGGATTTGTACTTTTGCAAACAAGAGAAACTCATCTACTCAACTAATAGCTAGAACTCCAGAAACTACTTGACACGGCATGTAGATTACAGTAGAATCGACTTGCAGCAAATCTACAAAATTGCTGCAACAAAAGCTGATTTCAACGCATATTAAGTAGAAATGAATTGTAGAAACCATTCTAGAATATCTCGGCCTAATCTAGAACAGTTACCTACGTGGCTACGTTGACAAGAAACTGTTTTCGGGTTTTCTAGACGAAAAATTCAATTGATTTCTGAATGTTGCTTCCCACTGGGTACAGTTTATGGCTTAGTGCTTCCTACCGTGTGGAAATGGGCACCGTATGTAAAGGTGAGTGCCAGGACAGTGGGGGAGTGTATTTTACCCAGCATGTGCGAGTTTAACAATCAAGTTAATCTGGTAGAATAAACAACATGCGAGTTCTAGTACGCTACCTACAGCGTAGTGTGTACCCTGTCAATACAGGTCAAAGTTAAACAAACATAAAACGATGTAAACTAAAGGTCGCGGTCACACTAGCGCTTGTGCTTGGAGATTACCACCGGATTAGCGTGCTTGCTTGAACACATACCAAGCTCATGCTAGAATGTAAGACAAGCACGTCGCGGTCACACTCAAAAAAGCAACGTTTGCTTGCTTGCTGTTGTTGACAGATAAAAATTAAAAACCTATCTAATAATCTAAAGTCCATTATATTAAAGGCAACGAATACGCATTATTCTTGTGATTTCGTAGGTCTAACTAAGTTTAGACTTTAGAACATAAGAGAAATGTGTCTTTGTCCTTAGTTCAGGCGCAAATCGCTTGCCCGATCGTTATTCATTATCATATTATATGTATCAATAGGGATGTTAACATTGTATATTATATAATATAATTACACGGGCAAGAACTAAATTACTTTGAAATTTTGAATTTGGTTTCTGCTTCAGGTTTCCATACAGAAATACCGTTTATTCATTCGATTCACTGCTTAGCGCGTTGTTGTGTAAGCAAAATAGTTCGAATCTACCGCGGTTCTGTCTCTATTCAAATTAAAAATGACATGTTGAAATGACTTGTCTATTTGCCTCCTAAAACTCCATATTTTATTGGCTGAATTATTTAATCCACTTGAGATACACATTCTAGCACGATTCAAACATACCCTGTAGTGTGTTTGGATCGTGCTTCGGCGCCTTTGAAATTTCAAGCAAATCGTGTCAGATTTCAACCATGCTTGGGTTTTGTGTTTTGCGCGGTCACACTGGCAAGCGCGCTTGGAAGGTGATGTGTTGAGCGATTCAAGTGGATTTAGTTCAAGCAAGCACGATTCTAGCGCTAGTGTGACCGCGACCTTTCATCCATAGCAATTTCCGATGTTTTTCTAGCAGTGTGTGGATGGACTGCACTCGAGGGTCGCGAGGTTTCGTCAAGAAATATGCTTTTGTCATTGTGCCGCGAACGTCTTGCCAACTCACTCCCTGATGAAGGGTCTTAACACAAAATGTAGAAAATTGTTTTTCCTCATTTAGGTTGTCGTGTTTATATTTACGACTGAATCAAAGACTTTGCAATGCGTGTTTACGAGTCACGACTCTCCACGAACCTCGACATTTCCCCTCGACTTATGTCTATGCCATGTCAACACCTGGGGCTAATTGCACCAACTGCGCTAAACGCTGAATGGCGCACTTCATGCAAATTAAGCATGGTCCCGCAGTAAAATTGCGTCAAACTTTGCGCATTCCATCCATCCTTGTATTTTTTCTACAACCAAATATTTACATACAGCTTATATAATCAAGATATGATTAAATCAAAACTGGCATGCACCAGGAAAATGGCACCTAATTATAAGCCGTTAATTGGCGTGTTAAAAGTGACCTCACACGACGACGTATTACTTTGATCTCTCACCCACATCTTATTACAACAAACTTCTGTACCCCCACAATTACAGAAGCTTTTTTATACGATGGTTATATTTGTGCTGGAGATATTTGTGCTGTTGGAATCATTTGGTGGCCTGTCCCATTTGCAACTAACTTTGATTGTTTGCTAGTAAAATTGTTTGGTGTTAGAAGACACCTTGACATCAGAATCTATCTTCACAGTATGGCCACAAAATATTTAGTTTGTCGACTCAATTGTGGTCTGTTACGACCACGGATGATTACAATCCAAAAAACGGAATCGCCTCGTTCTTTAATAAATTCCGTTTATCAGAACAAAAAAGACAATTTTTAGAGGCAATCAACCTCGCAATGAGCGGCATTTTAGAAGTGATAAAGTATTAATTATAACTCGTGAGGATTATTGATTTCCAACAGTAAAGTCGGTATTGTAGCAAATTTAAAGCTAAAAAGTTAAGTTATAAAAGCGATGAAGAAAATATACCAACTCCGTTGAAATGTTTTTGTAGTTTCAAGAAATTCGCAACCCTAATCTTATCCGCTTATAACATAATAACTATCATGTTTTTCCGTCAAGAATTTACGATGTGAAAGAGTAAGCGAATCATTGTCAATACTATTTCTAATATTCGGGATCAATTGAAGTATACAACCCTCTATATGTTATTGAACTGCCTCGTTCTTCCAGTTCTCCAGAGCAATTTTAATTCGAGAATTGGTCTGTTCCCGGACAAGAATAAAAGGGATTTTTTAGAGAATGAGGCAATTCCATTTAACGCTAACTTAAAGGGTGTTCTATACTTCTATTGATCTCAACTACAGACGAATTATGTTGTAACCATAACGATTTAATTTTTGAACGTCATGGTTTCATCAAGAAAGGGTAAGGTCGACACGAGGGCAAATTCAAACTCCCTATGCCCTAAACCATAAGGAACACATTTAACAAACATACCATAGTCAAGACCTTTTTGTGTGACTCGCACACGTACTGCAGGCTTGCCATTTCCAAACGTTTGTCCAATCAATACCAGAAGGATGGTCCCATACAGCCACGACATTCTTGTGATAGATTGATGAACCTTTCCAAACTTTTGCGCTGTTGAGGAAGTTTTGGAGGAACATCTTGCCAGCTTCAGTTTTTATACTACGGTTCGTCCTGCAATCTGATACTTTCACACCCTGCTGAATCTCACACAAACAAATGAGAACAAAGGGGTTGCCATGTCATGTTGACAGAATGCTTAACGACTTGTTTTCTTTTCGTTTGTTTGTCCAAAAATGTGACATGATGATGAACACACTTCGTTTTACATGCATTCAAATGTTTAGAACCCAGGCTTAGTTCAAACTTTTCATGTGTCAAGCCTACACAAGCTCAAACAATAAGTTTAGGTCATCTTGACTAGCTTGGTCACGGATAAGGACGACGTTTGAATTGCTTCTTGATACTATAGTAATAAATCACCTGCCCACAAAAATCATTCTATTTATTTGCATGCCTAAGATTGAGAAACTCAAATTATATTTTCAGGGTATTTAACCTCCTTGATAAATGATTTATGCCTATATTTTACAATCTTATTTGCTCAGTTCAGGCTAGGAGGACGTTTTCATAACTGAAAGTGATCTGATGTCATTCTGTGATGATTAGAATGGCGGCTAACCAGCTGAGGGATAACCTATTGGCTATTGTTCCATCAATCTCCTCTGTGATTCTGTTTCTGACCGAGCTTTAAAGACCACAGAAAGCGGAGATGAGTGCCGGCCTGCATGTCGAGCCCATCTGGCTGATGGAGTTAATGAGCTTAGGCTTGCTTCAAACGTCGCCATTCATGTGCCGAAGTTAATGTCATTAACCGACATGTAACAGAATTTTGTCAATTTAATTATCCCGACACAATCAAACCATGATCAAACCTAGGACGATTTTGCATTCATAAGCGTGCGGGCCTTTCCGGAAGCGGGAAGGTCATTCGAACTCATTTTGTGAGAAACTTTGATTATTTTCCACGCATTTGCAAGAATTTCCTTGGTTTTAGTTTTTTGGGCGAGGGACATTACCGTCTCCGCAACCCCTCCACAGTTCTCGAACACTATCGCATATCAGATATTTTATTTACGTTAATTTACTTTTATTTTGTTACGCTAGAGGTAGAAATGTATCTAGTAACAGCAAGTTTCATCAACTCACCGGGGCTTTACTATCGTAAATTGACACATCAAAAAGTGTTTTGAAAACGAAAAACTTTTAGATGTTTTGAAATCACTCTATAAGTATGACAGAATTTGTCTAAGTTTAAAGATAAGTAAGCAAAAGTTGACTTAATTTGTGGTCATTTATCACTGTGGTATTGAGACGGTGCCGATTTTTGGATGTTTTCCTTATAAATGATTGAGTTTGAGAAATTTATTCAAAAAACAAAGAAATGACGTCACAGAAAACTGGATGATTTTCTAATACAAGAAAAAATTCGCAACCCATTGTAAACTTGAAAGTGTTGAAAGAATCAATATTGTGGCAAGTTTATGATATACCGTCACTTTTTCGAGACGTTTCTTTAGGAGGGGACAATTGCAGTTTCATTTTTCCGCCGTACACAAAAATGATGGCTTTTATCAAACAGATCCGACAATATTGCATGTATAGTTTATGAAAATATGATGGGTCTGGAAACTAAACAGAAGTGATTGTGTTATGTTTTTGCCTGAGTTTATGATAATTTGTGCACGGTGATTGAGCTCATTGTATTTTCCTAGAATGAAGTAAATGAAACGTGCAACCACAATGAGTAATATTGAATGAAGTTGAAACAAAGGATTTGTCCACGGTGACGTACAGTTTAACGTAACATCTATTTTGTGACTTCGAAGTCTGCCGGGCTTTGCCGGCCATCATTGTCTTGACAGACTATAGTTGCATTGAACAGACTCGCTCCAAGTCTCAGTTATTCGTCGCCCTTTATAAACCCCGAATAAAACTTTCTTTGAGAAGCAGACCTAGCTGGAGCAAGCCTAATGTTTGAGACATGGTCTGGAAACTCGGCAAACTTCAAAGTATCTATAATGAGCTACGACGTTGTTTCACCGTGCACAAATCTTGTTAATATTTCAACAATATACGGTCGAGTGATTCAACGAGTGCTGCTTCATTATACCTACAATACACTGTTTTGACAGCGCACAAGTTTTCATAAACATGAACAAAAAGACAGACTTTTCCCCGATTGCCCGCGTTTCTAGACCAAAGCATTCCATGATTGACTATGGACCAACTGGCCTCTCTAAATAAATACTGCTTGCCAGTCAGCCTGGCGTCTTTTGAACGAGTTATAGCCCGATAAAATTGCTTTCCACTTGGGTGGCTGTGCTTTTCAAAACATTATTTTGATTGACTTCAACGTATTATAAGTGGAGCAATGACAAACTATTTTGTAAATGTACTTTAAACCCAGCATGAGATGAGAATTGTGTCTCCAGTCTGATGCAACCACTTTACTTGATAAAGATCATTTTAAATGAATAAATAAAATATTTTGTCATTTTCAAAAGTGAACTTTACTTTACGGTAATTACTACAAAGTGCATATAGGAGTCTCGGAAAATTAAGATATTGTAGAATGTAAAGTAACATAAGTGACCCTTCCACCGTAGCTGTGCTGTGATCAGACACAAGCTGGCTGCCAGATATTCATAACTCTGGGTTACATGCTTGCAACACTATAGTGGCATTTTGTAAAACAAACTTATATATTTTTATTTATTATATTTCTAATAATAATATAAATTAACGGATTATATATATCACTTTAACGGTTTATATATATTCTTGCCCAATTGTTCTAAAAACAGAAAAGAAATAACGATCATACAGTATAGTATCATTATTACTGAATACTGTTGTTGTTTTTTTCAAGCCTTTTATCCTTTATTACTTAACATATATGAAAAAATACACACTTCTGATTGGGTAAGAGCAAAAGCAGCTGAATGGATCACTCGTGTATTTTTTTAATATAGCTAATTTAGTTATTAATATAAGACAGTTTCATAAGAATCGGGCAATGTATGTTTAAACTGGCGAAATCTCAGTGGAAAGGTTAATGTACAAGAAAGATCATTAGGCTGCTGTATAAGGATTAAATATTCAAATATTTACTTACCTTTCAAAAACGGATCGAAAAAACAGTTCTTCATTTAAGCAGCTGTAAATATCCGATTTGTATTTCGCACGTGCTAAAAGCGACAATTGTTTGATTTCAAAGTTGGTAAAAGAAGAATGAAATGTCGTTGGTAGGAAGCAGACTATATAGCTATATATATAAAATATATAAAGATTTGTATTTCGCACGTGCTAAAAGCGACAATTGTTTGATTTCAAAGTTGGTAAAAGAAGAATGAAATGTCGTTGGTAGAAAGCAGACTATATAGCTATATATATAAAATATATAAAGATTTGTATTTCGCACGTGCTAAAAGCGACAATTGTTTGATTTCAAAGTTGGTAAAAGAAGAATGAAATGTCGTTGGTAGAAAGCAGACTATATAGCTATATATATAAAATATATAAAGATTTGTATTTCGCACGTGCTAAAAGCGACAATTGTTTGATTTCAAAGTTGATGGTAAAAGAAGAATGCTAAAAGCGACAATTGTTTGATTTCAAAGTTGGTAGGAAGCAGACTATATAGCTATATATATAAAATATATAAAGATTTGTATTTCGCACGTGCTAAAAGCGACAATTGTTTGATTTCAAAGTTGGTAAAAGAAGAATGAAATGTCGTTGATAGGAAGCAGACTATATAGCTATATATATAAAATATATAAAGATTTGTATTTCGCACGTGCTAAAAGCGACAATTGTTTGATTTCAAAGTTGGTAAAAGAAGAATGAAATGTCGTTGGTAGAAAGCAGACTATATAGCTATATATATAAAATATATAAAGATTTGTATTTCGCACGTGCTAAAAGCGACAATTGTTTGATTTCAAAGTTGGTAAAAGAAGAATGAAATGTCGTTGGTAGGAAGCAGACTATATAGCTATACATTGCCATGTTTCTATAAGAACTTTTAGAACGTCTCTGAATAATACGAACGAACATAAGGCAGGTATATTGCAGTGCCATCATGCTTTAGTTCGTGTCGATCAGTCCAATAATCAATATATGATCGGCATTTGCTTCCAAAGCGGACACATTATCCAGTTCCATTACAAGGTCAGTGACCAAGCTGAGAACACACGAATGCAGAGTTATCAGAAATATCATTATTGCGACGCAAATTGCAAGAAAACATTAGCTCGATGGATAACCCATCAACTCAACTGCGCATCAAGCATGCATCTGATGGCGTCTTACTATAAACACAAGTCGACCAACTATCCAGACGGAAAATGTAACACATGAATACATGATTGAATCCTACCTTTCCATACAACTGGGCCCTCAAGCGATTTGTCTTGTAAAACTCCGCACGACGTTCTTCGTCCTCCCTTTTTCTCACTTCAGGAAGATTTTTATACATCCTGCAAAAATCAAATATGTAGTGTACGTTTCAGCGAGATGGTTTAAAGATTCTCATGGAAATTTGAATCAGCTCAAAGTTGGTGAGAGTTGAGAATGGAAAAGAGTCGATGGGAATTAACGATGGCCTCTCGTTTGAACAGAGCTTTGCTGGACGACAATTTAACATGTAACAACAACAGACGACAATTGCTCACGCTACTGACATGAATTACACACAATGTGTAAATAAAAAACCCCACACATACAGGCCGACTAAAATTTTGAAACTCTATAGACTATACCCAACCTTTTGTTAACATCACGAATTTCTTTGTTGGTCATAGGACGCGGTTTCTTTCGTTGAAGTTGTTCTAAAAATTGAAATGATCAAATATGCAAAACTGAATCGCAAAGGACTCAGCATGTCGAGTCGAAGTCTTTCTAAGGGCGCCTCAGGCATCCACCATATGAGTCATGCCTGATCACGAAGCACAGCTACGGTGAAAGGGCCAGTTAGGGGCTAAACGCGTACTTACCAAATTGTTTATTTGGTTTCATATCAAACATCCTATCTTCACCAGGTTTTTTATTCTCTTTCTTCGGTTTGGTCTTTTCACTTGGCACTACGACAACAACTTGTGCACTCGTCATTACCCTTTCTTCGCGTTTTTCCTTCAGTTTTTTCACTCGCTCCCGAGATCTGTCAACGAAGTCCTGTTTCGAATACATGAACGCATCTTGTAGCGATAGTTTGATCAGAGATGCAGGTACAGGGTTTGAAATGTTCTCTTCGGACGGCCCAGCTTTTAGCACAGCAATGTCAGTTGCCACGGGTAGGAACTCTTGTATCGGTGGTGTGGGACAATTTACGCCGACATCACGAACACTACTTGTTTTTTGTTTCTCCTTTCTAGATTTTGCACCACAAGTACACTGCGTGAAATTGAGATAAATAGACAAAAGGATGAATAAACAAATGCATTATTTCACTCACGTTTTTCGAGTCAAAGGTTATTTTGCAATATAGACAGGTTCAACATTAAGTTCTATCCAGCCCAAAATCTTGAATGTGCTAATAAATAAAATATAGCCCATAAAATTACCGAAGAGGAAGTTTTCCCTTGTTTCATCATTTCTTTATTTTTCACACTCAACCACATGGGAAGTGAAACTAGGCTCTCAGAATTTCTTTCAGTCACTGAGCTCGAAACTACAACTGGATCATCAAGATTTTGACGACTTGCTTTTCGAGGAGGCAGTTCGTGGGAAGGCACTTGAGATACGTTTCGTCTCACACGTCGGTCGTCTGATGAGGCTATTGACGTCATACTGGTCGAACTATCAACAGCTTCATGGCGAGGTTTACGGTGTAAACGCTCAACTGGAGTTGTTTCAGATTGATTATGTATCACACGTTGGTGACCTGATGATAGCCTTGATGACGTACTACCATTGTCTTCCTGATAACCTATAGATAACAATTTTGTAAATGTTTTCATTTACCACAACAAACTAGAATTAGATCAATATTTAGTATCTAAGGTACATTTAGTATCTTTAAGACACAGAGCAATGTGAAAAGATATCCTCCTGGCGGAAGTAACAAGACTTACTTGATTCACTGCTTTGTATCTCCCGAATACGACGTAGAAATCTCTCAAATTCTTCATCACTATCCGTGTCTACAGATTGTCTACTAATGTTTCCATTCTCACTAGATAGAATATCCGAACTAGATACCGGTGAGATATCAGTGGGTGTAGTTTCGCGAGACGGTCGGGAGCGCACTATCCGGCCTGTTTTACTTCTACGAGAGCTTCTCGACTTTTTCCCAAAAACGTCTTGAAACCGTTCCCACAAGTGGTTTAAATCTTGAGTCGTTTGTTCTTGTTTCACTTCGAGTCTTTTATGCCGTTTCTTTTGCTCCTGTTCGTCCTGAATCATATTTTCTAAAATGATGTCTGCCACAGATTTCTTCTTCTCATTTTTATCGAGGCTTTTCTCGCTTTCCATGCTGTCAGACGCTTGATTCTTCACGTGTTGTTGAATGGTTTTTGGAAGTATTTGCTTGTGCCGTGGTGCACGTTTACGGCGATGTTCAGGCTGGTGCGAGGTCGGTTGCTTCAAGGCTTGTTGTTGTGTTGTACTTCTGAGTTGTTGGTATGCATCATGAATCACCAAAGGTGCTGCTCCCGTACTAAGCTGGGACATAACTGGCCTCGAAATACTCCAAGTGTGTTCAACTTTCGCAGCTGGTTGTAGTCGCGTAAAGTTGCCACCATTCTGCGGGCCAGCCAAGACTTTCGTTTCGAGGTTCACGCTCACTCTGGTCAAGGTTCCATTATACGAAGTTCCAGGAGGATTCGCTATCATAAGCTTGTCTATTTCAAATGTGGAAAATGGCGGTGGGTCTTGCCTGGGTGGTTTATAGTTCAAAAACACAGAAGGTGATAGCCGTGTAGGTTTTTCAATTCCATATGTGGTAAAACTGGAATGACTATCTTTTGTTGGTTTTTCAAACTCAGAGTTTGTAAGACCAACGTACATGTCAGTCATAGGTTTACTACTCTCTCTAGGAGAAAAATCACTGGTTGTGGGTGCATTGCTTTGCCTTGCACTGATATCTTCCGATTTTGGAGTGGATTGTCCTTCAGGTCCACTATCTATCCCATTATCAACAGGTTCTGTCCCACTTGTTGTCCCTTCAGATACATAAACACCCCCTTGTACCCTACGACGAGACTGACGGCTATCTCTATCTGTACCACTTGTCCCCGTTGCACCATCCGATACATAAATGTTCCTCATTTGTAAAGACTTAGAGCTCTCCCGAGGCTTCTTACCAAGAGCTAACCTTTTCCGATTTGTACTTCCGGGTCCCGACGACTGACGTACGTCATAGATTCCGACTGGCCCATTACCAGTGGACAAACGAGTAAGTCGTTTAGGTCGGAATATCTCGTCGTTAGTTGAAGACTCACTGAGTCCTGAATCTAGGATTGGAGTAGTCGCGCCTGGCTCATTTACTAAAGTCTCGTCGTGCTGAGGGTCCACAAATCTTTGCTGAACTTCAAGGTCTACAGATTTCATTTCCTCGCGAAATTGACTCGCCACGGCATTTGACCACGATATGCTTTCTGAAGCAACACGGTCGAATTCGCTCAAGTCACTGGCGCCGCTGCGGTTTTCCGATTTGAGATTTTCTGGCTTGCTTATTCCTCCACCTGTATTATGATGGAAACATAACAATTAGAGGTCATTGGAATTGACATGATAAATTAATGATGCAGTAAAGTATGGTCAACTTGAACAGGAAAGGCAACTATCAGGATCACTTTTTTTCAGTATATGTCAATATACTGAAAAATATGACCTAGCTTTGTGTGCCAAATACATGTAATGGTAATATTTAGCGTCATTAACTCCGTTTCATTGTGTCAATGCACTGGAAATTGGCCGCCATGAAGACACTTACTTACAGTACTAGAAGCTTACAATTTAATTTAAGGGAGATTTTTACGTCTACAGTAACTTTCCAGGGGTTGGTTGTACAAAGCTGAGTAGCGCTTTCCACAAAAGTTATTTTTGCAACCTTTGGGGAACTGCATGTGACAGTACGGCTAAGGACTTATAATCGGTGTAAAAAACTGAAATTTCTAAATGCCGATCTTCAATCCGGGTTATATGCACCAATCAACGGCCAAGTTTGAAAAAGTCACTATCCGAACTTCGTACAGTACAACCAACCTCAGATGTCTAGTTTCTAAAACACGTATTGTGCACGTACCTTCGTTTTCTGTGTCAACTTCAGTAGGAACCAAATGACCCGACAAACCGACGCTGTTTCCCAAGGTACTGTCTGTCATCCCACTTGTCTGTTGTAGTTTACGACTCTCATTTCTCCGGGAGTGGCTGCCCACAAGATTTACAACCACTCTTTGTGGAATACCATCTTTCATTGGAATCACTGGACTACGCGTTGTACTCGCAAGCAGGTTTGCCGTCGTTACGGGTGTTAAATCGTAGTATGTAGATCGGCTTATTGAACCCTCATTGAAGGAACTCCTGGTCGGCGTCTTAATCTCCCTTCCTTTTGAAAAAGTTCGGCTAACTGGGACTCCTTGAAGACCAACAACCCCCGAGCTACGGTTGTTGTCCACGACTCCAAGATGTGCGGTCGTTATAGGGGTTAAATTTAGTGTTCGTTGGTTTGTTGAAAATTCTTGAACGGTGTCCCTGGAAGGTCTGCTATCTCCAATTTTCTGAAGATCATCAACCATGGAACTATGTGTACTATTTACGCCTCCAAGGTTTGCGGTCGTGATAGATGTTAAATCTGGTGTTCCTTGATACGAATCAGGAGTAGTCTTATCAATCTTCTCCCCGGAAGCAGTGCTATCATAGGATTGGGAGCGTCTGCTGTCTTGGGCATATCTGCCTTCTTCCACACAATTAATTCCCTTATGAGCATCACTTTCTAGACCACCATAACTTCTACTATTGGGCCTTTTGTCTGTAACAATCATTTCCCTGTCAGTGGCTGTTTCTCTCTCAAACGTATTTCTCGTATTTTCAGTATCCATCGGCAGCTGTTCTAAATCCTCATCATATGCCCCAAGTGGTCTTCTCTGTAGTTCCTCCAACATTTTTTGTGTTGCTTTGAAAGTAGGACCAAGGATTTTTGAGACAGGACTATCAGCATCAACAGGATTTTGCTGACGAAACTTTCCGATTGGTGTTTTAAGATTCCCAGCACCGCTCAATACCTTTACGCCCATTGGTTCCTTTGGTTCCAGAGATTTTATGGATGCCTTGCGGGATAGGTCAGTTTCGGACGGCGTGGAAGACATACTTTGTAGTGGTTCTGTCTCAAGTTTAAATTGTTGGTTTGAAGTAGTTTGGAGCTGAAGAAACTGGGTGTGGCTTGCACTGCTGTCATTAGAAGACAGTGAAGAATCGCGAGAATGTGGTTGGAAGAGCGGCATCATTATACCCCAAGGAGGACCTTGTTTTACTTCTAAACCATCCCGACCTAACGGCTGAAGTCTTTCACGTGCAGACATGTCTCCTTCTCTTTCCTCATCCCCATCTAACGTTCCCTCTGAGTACTGGGATGGTGAGAGGTAAGTCGTAGCAACAGATGTAATAGATGGTACAATTGGGGCAGATGTGGCTGTACCAGTAGGATATAGGTCTGGTTCAAAAGGACTTATAGGTCGGTAAGCAAGTGTAGACGCTATGGTTAAGCTGTCGCCTATAGTCAGAGGTCGTACTGGTAGATTCTCTGCAGCTTCCCTGGAGGTAGCAACATTTGAAGTCTCAGTTGTACTTTCTGTATGATCAGGTCTGCTCGTAGTTACGGTGTTTTGGGTATCGTATGAAGTTGAATTTGTATTGAACCTTAAATCTGCTGAGTATCTTTCCTCTTTAGTGTCACTTACGTCGGAAACATTCCCAATATTTTCGAAATTTCCTTTCATGTCATCTTCGGATTTCTTTTCATCCTTTCCATCACCAGAAAGATGAGGAAAATCTTCAAATGGAATTCTTTTTTCTTCTTTTGTATTCATTCCAGTTGATTGTCTCGCAAAATGAGAGGTTTTTCTATCTAAGGTTTTTCTATCAGAAGTGTTTTTCATAACAGCAGAATTTGTTCTTGAAATTGAGCGAGTTTTCTGAAGAATATCTTCATCTGCACCTGATATCTTCCTTTGTTCCAATGGTCTTTCCCAATCGTCCATCCTGGTTGTTTTCTTTGAGTGGACATGCCCCACATGATTAAAGTCACTGCGTGCTTTCTCAGTCTGAAAATCAGCTGGTGAGATAGTCACTGCACCCAATGAAGGAGATTGCTTACTTGTATCTTTATCTTGCCAAAGTGGAGCAGAATTTGCTCTTGGGACAGAACTTGACTGCTTAGGGAAATAACTATTACCGTGGATATTTAATGCGGACTTTGCTCGTGTTTGAAGTGTTTTCTTTTCACCACTCCTGCCATTAATGTTGCTTGACACACCTGAATTTGTTAATGAAAGGTTTCTGGAGGAATTAAACATTACATTGGGAACATTTTTGGCATCTGCTGGCAATATGTTTCTTTCTTCCACAGTTGTTTGCATCTCTGTAGCTTCTCTGGCTGGGGCAGAACGTGCTCGCATTATTGGCTCAGTTTGCCAGTAGGCATTCACATTTGAAATGGGAAGAGAATTTTTATCCATCTGGAGGAGTGGTTGCCAGTCAACTCCAACAGATGTTTGTAACAGAACAGATCCGGGCCGTCTGATTGATTTAGATGACTCTTCCAAACCATACACAATATCACTTGTATCTGTAAAACAAAAATAAATAGTACACAATTTTCATTCAACAGAACGTACCACTAATTGTGATAACACTCTAAAGCAGCAACTCATCCTGTGGTTCTGGTGCATTGATCTGGCCACTGAGCAACAGATCACAAATTTCCTTAAATAATTTAGTAACATTTTAACATATGCATGGTAATAAAACTACAATGTAATATGGGCATTCCTTTATTTGAGGTTGGATGTACTGTTGAAAATTGTTCATGAAGAGTACATCAAGTAAGCAAGTATTACACAAGCTGAAATACTCATAATACAAAGAATTAAATACTCATTTGAGTAGTACATATTTACCCTATACCTGACATTAATCCTGGTTGGGAGTTCAATTCATTATCCCTTATTGTTGGAGCAGAACCAGGCCTAACAACAGTCTTTGATCTTCCATATAAATTTCCTCCATCAGGACTATATTCTTTGGTGGACCACGCAAATTTTGGAGGGGCTAAATTTTGTTTAGATGTTGTAGGAAATGAATCATCTTCTACAACATGGGAACTGTTCTTTGAAGAGCTCTCCTGTTCCAACATTCCTTGATTTTGACCTCCTTGGGATTCAACAATGTTTTTCTTTCTAGCAATCTTAGATACCACAGGCAAAGTCACATTTTCTACTCCCTCCATTACACCTGTAGCAGATTTATTTCCTACTACAAAATGTTCCTTTTCATGCTCTTCACCATCAGCTCTATCAGAAATTCCCAAATTCTCTTGTCTGTGATCTGTATGTGCTTCTAGTGCCATAAAGTGTGTGGTATCTTCATCATTTAATGAGAATGCACTCAAATAATGGTCCCAATCTTTGTGACCAAATCCTCCTTTGACGTAATTTTCCTGAATTTTGCTATTCTCTGAAATCTCAACTTCACTAAGACTGGGATCACTGACAAGCTCTTTCCAACCATGTTTGGCTGTTCCTGGAAAGGCTATAGATTTTTCATCCAATTTAAGAGTCAAATTATCAGTTTCATCTAAAAGGCCTTCTTCAATACCCTCCATGGATGTGCCACCCAAATGACCATGCCAAGCATGCACTGAAGCAGTCATGGCTGGCACGCTGTATGTGCAGAATGAGTCTTACTAAAAAACATGATGTAAAGTGTAACTATTTAGAAGTACCTTTTTCATTTTGAGACTCCCCAGACACTTTAGACTGTCTGACGACATTGATATCCTTAGCAAAACCTCTAAACCAGCTAACCTGCCAAGAAATTTGCCTCATGTACAAAAATAACTTTACCTTCATGATGCATATTAACCTGATAATGGGTTAAAATGACAAAGGAAATTATACACCTTACTGTAGCTGAGTATTTATAAATGGCATATTGCATTTTTTATCCGTACACCCCCTGTTGAGGACCTTGGAAATCCAGGGGATGCCTCTTGTATTTAACCCTGGAATTCCAGTGGGTGGGGGTCAAACCAACCTGGAATTCCAGTGGGTGGGGGTCAAACCAACCTGGAATTCCAGTGGGTGGGGGTCAAACCAACCTGGAATTCCAGTGGGTGGGGGTCGAAATAACCCTGGAATTCCAGTGGGTGGGGGTCAAAATAATAAGATTTACATGGAAATTCCGGGAAAGGGGATAAAATAATGATACCGGAACTGGAAATTCCAGGGGAGATCAACTTATTGACAGTGGAATTCCAGGGGAGATCAACTTATTGACAGTGGAATTCCAGAGTCATGCGGAAAAAAAATGAATTTCCAAGGGTCATTGATTAAACACAATTGGAATTCCAGGCACCCCCTTCTACAAACCACATTTTTCCAGGGCTTCTGACAAAAAATTACTTGGAAATCCGGGGGGTAGGAGAATTTATGCAGTGTGTCCTCAACAGGGGGTGTACGGATAAAAAATGCAATAAGCCAATCAGTGAAACAAATGCCACAAAATAATTGCTGACTTGCAGTACAACTGATAATGTATGAAAATGCAAGACAATTTAGTCATATTTCCTTTGTTAATTGTTTGCTTCCTAAATAACTTTTTAATACAAAACAACTGTGTGTACGAGGTTTATATATTAAAATATTATTAATACATAATCAACGTCAATATACGATTTATATACCAACATACCTCACGAAGTAGAGGCCATACATACAAAATTGCCTGATTATGACCTAATACATTACTTCTACAATCTCCTACAAACTTGTTCTTGTCACCATATCCGCTTATTTTCAAAAAATATCAGGAAAAACAACATCAAAATATTTGCAGTTTTAAACCGCCATTTTCTTTTTCATGGGAATAACCGCTGACATCTGATGGCTCATCTCGTACCCAGGATCTCTCAGAATACAAATTTGTTAGTAAACAAACGCACGTGTAAATATTGTTGTTTATAGTTGTCTATCACCAGTAAATCTATATTGTAGTGTGATAATCTGGAAAATGCCCGAGTGTGTATTATGCAGCAGTCAAAATTTTGATGTGATGGATGGATTGTATTTTTGTACGCAGTGTGGTACTCAGTCGCAGGTATCAACAACAGACGCCTCTGCTTTATATCTGCTAGTTTGAATACATATCCAGATGAATAATTTGTTTACTATAGCTGTCATACAAATTTTCACACACTTGCTTTACGGAGCCAAATTTCATCTGTGTTCGTACAAAGACTGTTAACAATATTTCTCCAATGAACATCAACATTATGTTTGGGG